GAATATGTAATAAAAAATGGAGAGTTCCATTTAAGAAAACATCGACCACATTGACCTCACCTTGAAAAGACCACTTAAGGTCAAATCCATATCCACACACACACATATATTCGCATCTATTTTTTATCTATTCTTTTCGCGTCACGTCGTTGATAAGCATATGAACTTTTACTATACTTGACTCGCTGTCACAATATTAATAACTAAATTCAATTAATGAAACGCTGAATTTCTCTCTCTCTCTCTCTCTCTCTCTCTTTCTCTCTCTCTCTTTTAACTATGTATTAACTATATTAATTATTACCAATCACACAGACGCGTTACGATAAGTCTTCATGTCGTATAGTATATTAAGAGGAAGACGCGGTCGCATGTGAGTGATGAGTGAGCACGGCATGTAGAGATAATTAACAATAAGACAAATATAAACACGAACATGTCGAAGACGTGTCTCATCCGAATTATCATAATTACGATAAGAAATTTGCGACGCTTTCACGATTGTTTATTATTCTCTCGCACACATATTAGTAATTTTGTTATTTGTTTACTATTAAGAACTAGAAGAGCTCCAAGAGATATGTACAATCGGAGAAGAAATGCATTTAATTTAACAGGCCGACATCCGGCTTAGCAAGGTGTCGTTCTCCTAAACGATTCCGTTTGCGTCTCGCAAAGAGAATGTCATTGTGCCATTTGTGTTAATGGTAATGAAATACTTAAGTCAGGGCTAACATATTCATGCAGTTACCATACGATTTAATATGTTTCAATGCCGAGAATCTGTAGTAATAAGATAGTCATCTATACTTCGTTTTACCGTAATCTGGGGAAAAAAGTGCATATACAATCAAATATAAATATAAATATATATATATAATAGAATCTTTTTTTTTTTTTTAGAGAAAATGAAATTTGAAAAAGGCAAAAAAATTGTCTATATATAATATATGCCCATATATATAATTACATATATAAATTTATATTAAGTATGTTTTTCTAATTTGTTTTTAATTATTCTTTTTATTTTTTCCTGTACATATGGGCAGAGATTATATAAGAGAAATAAAAATATATATGTGTAAACATATTTTATAATATAATTATATACATTTATATTTTATTATGTATGAACTTATTTTCCCCGGGAAATTATGTAACTCGGACTATCCGGAGAAAAGATTTGCATAATCTACGATTAGATAAATAACGGAGCTATTGTACCATATATTTTCGAAAATAACATAAAAATTAGATACACGCGTAAGATCTCCTGGTCAATAATGCATGCGTCGCGTATATAACGGGATATTACAACATTAAGTCCAACAGTACTAAGACTTCCCATTACGTCATGGTACTGCCGTACGCGCGTTCCTTCTTCGCATTTTCCCCACTAAGAAGCACCTAGACGATTCTATCGTTCTCGCAAAAACGCGTTCCACGATCCGGTTCGCGGCGGATTCCATTATGGAATCGCGAGAGCCAATTCGTTTTATTAGCACGTCGATTAATAATTTGCTTAAAAAAAAAAAAAAATGAAGGATTGCGAAAATGGGAAAAAATAATTTTTGTACAAGAAAGAATGGGGCCGATCTAAAAGATTTACATAATCTGAGATTTCCAAAGCAGAATTACAACTTATGTCAATTAATCATTAAGTGGTAAATTATAGTTACAAGCGAATAATTTTGTCTTCTCGCGCGATGATCTATATTGAACATTGTTTTTTAAACATTAAAATACATATGTAGATAGGTGTTTCCCGAACTTACAACTTTAAATTTACAAATCGGCATATAATAGAGGAAAAAGAAAGATGATTTTGTATTTATAACTAAGTGCGCTAATAATCGCCATATTTTTTTCGTCTGTCACACTAACGTCGGGTCACGGTATGATAACCCGTGGAATTTTTGAGTGTTAAACTTGAGGTGTGCGCGCACAAGTAACAGAATTAAATTCTCGTGCACAAATCGGTTAATAAGCACGATGATAAAGAATTAATAAATGTATCGAATATATCTGTGATAAGCGATATTATACATATTATCTTATTTATAGAGAACACACGAAAAACATTCAGTTTGTAATTACGAATCTCCAAATATGCACAGAAAAAATAATAAAAAGAATAAATTTTTCAGTTTCGTATTTCTTTTTTTTTAGGGAAAGTAAAATTTAGAAAAGTGGAAAAAATTGTCCATATATATACATATATACAGAGTGTCCGGTAAAGATTGTGCCAACGCTCGTGAGTGGGTAGAGCACAGTAAACTGAACAGAAAAGTCCTGTAACATTTTTTTATATAACGCTTAATACAGGAATTATTATTGAGTAAAATCTGGTCAATCAGCGCTGATTGTTAGCCGGACGCACGTCAGTGAGCCGCCCGCCTGATAGTGTGCGCCGTCGTAGTGACGGAGCGCTCACGCACACTACCAGGCGCGCGGCTAAAGGTCGACGCTGATTGGCGAGAGAGAGAGAGAGAGAGAGAGAGGAAAGTAGGGTAAAACCGGGTACTTTTTTGGATTTGTCTCCCTACAAAAAATCAGAGAGTAAAAATAAATTTGCTGACCATTAATAGTCTTTAGTGGACTTTAAACTATGAGAAAATGAGGCTAGTTGCTGAAAAAAAATTTGGTTACCAAGGATAACAAGATTTTTTGAAGAAATCAAAATTCCCGGTTTTGCCTTACCGGTAGGGTAAAACCGGATACCATTTGAAAACATGTAAAACACCGTGCAATTACAAAATCTAGATTTATTTTAATCAAAATACAATATAAAGATGTATTCTATTGACAAAAATCATAAATAAAGATATTCTTGTTCAACATTGCTGCAGGATTTCTTTATTTAATTTTTTAACTTTAGGGATCTCAAAAAGCTTTTTTTTTAGTAGTTTTTTTTCTGAATGGTAGTTTTTGTTTCCAACTGCTTTTTATAAGGAGACAAAGTCAAAATAACAGTTCTTCCTCTTTTCATTACATGAGATGTGTAGATACCCGGTTTTGCCCCAACATAAGGAAAGTAACAAACATGGCGGTTGTATATTCCGGCATACAAAGTGACGATCAGAACTAGTGTAGATATACTCTCTGATATGTACAGAATACAATGCATTTACCGAAGCAGATGCTCTGCGTAGAAAAAGTCCATAACGACTCAATTGTTGTCCCGATATCGATCTTTTTTGTCCCGAAAACTTTGAACTTCTCTCGAAAAAGAAATATCGTGTGCACGTGGCCACGGTTCATCTCAAAATAATGTTGGCATCAATATACAACTAATAACACGAGTTAGCCAAAGATAATAGCACTTATCATGAAACAGAGGTACCCGGTTTGACTTGCCTACCCGGTTTTACCCTATTTTCCCCTATATATATAATTCATATATAATGTGTGTACATATAATATTAATATAAATTATATAAATAAAAATAAAAATAAATTAAATTAAATTAAAATATATATGTATACAAAGTGTCCTATCAAAAGTGGTCACCCTCTTTTATCTTTTAAACTAAAAGAAATAGACCATAACAAATATATATCAAATTAAATAGTTCAAACTGATCTCTATTGTGAGCATAGTAGTTGCTTACTAAAGCTGTGTTGTCTGTATTAACAAACGCACAGGTATGCATAATTTTTTTATAATAATGTGGATATTTTGACACAATAAAAGTTGTAGCGTTGTTTGAAACGAATATAACGATATATGATTTAATGTAAATCTTTTACATATTATACGAGTTTTACCGGCTGAAAATATTGCGGGCGATGTTTTCCTTTTCATTTTCGGCCCTCCAATATGGGCACCTTCTGACTCAAAATTATTCAATCTTATAATCAAATTACAACACGACATATGTCTCTAACGTACGAGCCAAAAGTATATATA